GAGTATCACGAAGCATCTTTCAAGATATTTAGGATGTTGTGCTTTGTGTGTAAGGCTTTTTTAACTCTCTGGTGCCCTTTTTGGATTGTAAATTGACTGCATCAGACACAGTTTTTATATCCATGAAATATCTATAGGTAAAAATGTTTAAGACACTGTATTTATCAACCAAATTAGAACTCATCAAAGACAACATAAACTATTTTGATTCTCTGTTAAGCAGATATAGAAAGTGTTATTATTCCACACCAGGATGGTAAACATTTTCATACATGCTATCATCTAGAGAGAGTGGTAAAAGTTATCAATAAATTTATATTTTATTTCATGAAATTAACTCATGAATTCAGAATTTTATAGATTAATTCTTGCTAATCATTGCTCAAATTTATTTAAAAGTTTTGATTTGCCAATATGTACAAATGTTTAAAACCACTTATGTTAAAGCCAATATTAAAACCAATTATGCTAAAGTCTTTATATAGTGAAACATTTCTGTAATATATGCCATTAATACCTGTTCATCTTACTGTCTTGTTAAAACATCATCATAAATGTGCCTATTTGGGAAATAGTGAAGGGAAATAGGATTATATTTTTAACTTATTATGTGGAAAAATCAATTTTGTGGTTAAAACCTTTTCACCAACATTTAAACTAGCTCTTGTAATATATCTCACATGATTCATTAGTTTTATTTTGTGTTGACTAAAGTAAAACATTCTATTTTAAAATGTTAATAAGACAAAAGAAATTAGCAGTTTAAAATTCTGATTTAAAAAAAAATGGTCCTGGTAATATCCATTAAAACAAAAGCAGGGGATCGTTAATCCATGAAATAGACTTTGCATTTGCATTAACTCATTCTCTGTCTCTAGAACAATGCCTCCAAGCTTTTGCTGGCCATTATGGAGAGCAGACATGACAGCGAGAACGCAGAAAGAATTCTTTTTAACATGAGGCCCAGGGAACTGGTAAGAAAGTTCTCAAAAGCTGTGTTAATAATGTGTAGCCTAAAAGGGACAAGTTTACAGCATGGGTTTCAGTAAAGAAAAATCTACTGACTTTCACTCCTTTACCAGGGTGTAATGGCACATCATGACCCACCGTTATGAATATAGAAAGTCCTATGTGATTTGGGTCCTTATGACTTCATTAGTTTATCCACTCCAAGCACTTTTCTTAACCAATTATCACACGCCACTAAACTATCTGCAAATGCTTTTTGCCAGAAGAACAAATTTGCTTTAGTTTCATAATGTATTTGAATATATGGGGAAGATGTGTAAAAAATATTTTCATCCCTCAAAAATTTATATCTTCTTTCTGGAAAATAAAATAAAAATTTTGCGTAGTTCTTGTCAGTGAAATGTCATCAATACTTGGCCCAGAGGAAATTGTGCAGAGACTTGATAGGGATTCCATAGAGATCACTATTGTGTCTTCCTATTGTAGAAGTTATGATTTCCTCTTCACTTACGTCCTGTGAAGAATGAAGTAGTGTATGCATGCTTTAAAGGCATTGGGTTTTCAAAAGCATTGAGAATGTGCTTAAACCGTATAGCCCAGTAATACAAGTCCCACTCACATCAGCACCAGTGTTGTGGGTGTGCTGGGGAAATCCTGTGAAAGGCTGGCACCACATTGGTTTGCTCTCTCCTTACTAGTGAAGAATGGAGTTGAGGAGGGTAGATAAGATGTGGTTCTATTAGATTATATTTAATGAGAACTTACTATCTACAAAGTGATCGGTTAAGAGGAGCAAGATATTCCCTATCCTTATGGTCAAATGGGACAATGATTTATATATTCAGTCAACACTGGTGAGCCCACAGCACTCCACAATAGCCCCTTGAGAATGTTATTTCTCCACCTACAACACCTTTGCCTTATCATCCACTTCCTCCTCAAGGCCCACCCTCAACCTCTTGACTGAGTTAGGTGCCCCTGTTCTGTGCTTCTTTGGCAGCTTACGCTTTCAGCCCTGCTGTAGTACCGACCACACTCTGCTGTGTTTACCTCTGTACTTGCTATTTCTCTTACTGGACAGTAAGTTCTTTGAGGGCAACACTGTGCCATATTCACTTTTGGATCCTCAGTGCCCAGTATAATGTCTAGCACAATATCTGCTGTTATCTAGTAGGTGCTTAGTAAATAATGGATGCTCATTAGGCTTCCAAATCTCCTAATTTGTATTTTGGGGAACTTCAACTCTATTAACTTTCAAAAATCAAAGCAAAAGTTTCAAAGGAAAATAGGGACTATTATATGAAAATGATTCCTTGTTAGAAGTAAAGTTGTTAAATAAAGTTAGTTTCCAAGGTCATTTTCATTTAGAGTGCTTTTATACTTTTTGTGTCTCAGGAAGCTTTCCAATTTTTAATTATGTCTCATGAACAATGTAGAATGTATCTTGTTTGTGGTATCTCAGGTCTGTGTTACTGTTTTTTTTTTGATAGGTGGATGTGATGAAGAATGCCTATAACCAGGGATTAGAATGTGATCATGGGGATGACGAGGGCGGAGATGATGGCATTTCCCCAAAAGACGTTGGACACAATATCTACATTCTGGCCCACCAGGTAGCACATTTTATATTTTTATATATATATGTGTGTGTGTATACATACATATATGTATATGTTTATAATTAACAATATGTATATTTGTTTACAATTAACAATATATGTATTTGTTGATCCTGACAGCCATGTTTTTGTATCAATGACTTATTACCATATTTTCAAGTTCTGGTTCCTTCATTTGCTCGGAGCTTACCCTCCCAGGTCTGGGCAAAGAGAGGGACAAGCTCTCACAATGCCTGACTATACTCCCCAGGGACGGCTAGGAGACAACCCATGAGAAAACAATACTCGGCTCCCGTAACTGCTGGGCCAGGAGGGTGGAGACATTTCCTCATCAGAGCCTGAGGAATAAGTAAACCATGGTGACAAATGGAAATCCCAAAGGAGAGATGAGAGGAGGTTACTGAGAAGACAGAGCCTAAAGTATGGGGTAGATTCTGGTCTAAGCTAGACAAGCCTCGCAGGTAGCTTCTGACCTCCTTGAATTGTAGCCATACAGAAGCCATAAAATAGCAGCCTTTAATTGATTTCCACTGAACTAACAAATATAAAGCTAAATTTTAAAGTCTTTTGAAGGAACTACTTCCGTTGTTTAACTTATGAAAACAGGCACTTGTACAGTTTTATTTGATTAATTCATTAACATGAATAACTTTAGATTTGCATCTTCTAATACAGATTTTTTAGAAGTTAAAAATTGTAGACTTATGTATGGCAATTTGATTTTATTTCTAATAGCTTCCTCTTTTTTACATAATAAAGTCCAAACTTTGTAGACTTTCACAAAGTCTTTTCCTCCCATTGACATACTCTCTCTTCTCCAGCTTCGTAGTATATCTTATCAATTGATTGAATAAACATTACTAGATATAAGGTCAGATTTTGAGAGGCTCTGTTTTCAAAGGTTGCTCTTTAGGCTCTTCTGGCCCTTCCCTTGGTGTTACTGTCTAATGTATATAAATGAGTATAATTTTTACAACAGCTTCAGGAAATTATAAAAAAGAAAAAGAAAAGAAGCTGCTTTTGTTTTGTAAAATAGTTGGATCATTGAGGAGATGTTAGATCTCATAATGTAGCAAAATGCCTAAATAAACTAAAAAGAGATGAAGGCAGATGAGCTGCAGCTAGAAAGACAAAAGAGCATTTTAGGTATTGAGGAACTGAAAGCTCAGATGAAGGACAAGTGGGAGGAAGTGGAAGACAGAGTTTTCACCTGTGGAAACTACACCTGTGGAAAAGGTGTAGTTTTAGAGCAAAACAGAAATCAGGTGACAGGAAATAAGTCAAACTAGGACAGGAGTGATTAGAGATTGAATGAGAATGGAAAGAACAAAAAATCACAGGTTGAGAATTAAAATCATATTCATTTCTAGAAGGAATAGAGAAATGTGATGGCACAGCATTTGTAGATAGTTAAGCAGTTACTTCAAAAGCTGTAGCATTGTGGAAGGAAAAAAGTAAGGAAGATTAGGGCAGAGTGAGAAGTAACAAGTCTTAGAAGGAGGAAGTAGGGGAGTATAGCTACCCATGTTTTCTTGACTGAAAACTGGTCTTGCTCTGTTTTGGGAAGTGCACGTGAGCAGCTTCTGAGTGAAGACTGACCATGTAGCTATTACGGGCAAAATGAACAACAAAATCAGCTAAGTCAGTCTAGGAACCAGTGAAGTGACGGATGTTTGAGCCAGATCACCCCACATCTATGAAGAAAAAGTTTAAAAAAAGAATCTCAGATTACTAGTAAGTAGGGGTAACAGTGAAAATGTTAAGGGTCAAGAAAAGACATATTTTAGGTCAGTTCTGTTATAAGCAGACTAAGTATAAGAGTAGAGAATACAGATCTTAAAAACCTGCTAAGTTGGACATTGAGAAGAATGGAAAAAGAAGATAAAGAAAGCAAGAGCTGTTGTAGATCAAAAGATATTGATACAATTTTAAAAAAGAAAAGAAAAACCTGTATGTGGAAGAGGTTAGACATGAAAATGGCATAAAGGTCAATGAGTTTGATAGATTTGAGTTTATGAAAGTGCTTGGTGAGGAGAAGACATATAGTCAAAGATGAATTAAGAAATAGTATAAAATAACGAGGGAAAAGACAGTTTATTGAGAGAATCAACATGAAATGAAGAGAGAAGGCAATGGATGTGAAAATACCTTGAGTAGAAGTAGAGAAGTTTTTCAATTTTCCAAAAACAAAATGTTGGAAAGGCAGTAGTTTGTAGAGCAAGAAAGGTACAATATAGAGGTATATAAACAAAGCCAGAGTTTAGGAAGAGAGAGAAAGTTAGACTAAGTAAAGGGAAGGAGGCAATTCTGAATTGCCAAATACTTTAAGCCTTATGATTACATTGTACGAACATAAGTATGAAATGAGAGCCCATATGGGTGCATTCTAGGATTTCAAAGAGGATATAAACCCAAAACTAAACCCATTGCTGTCGAGTTGATTCCAACTGATAGCAACCCTATAGGACAGAGTAGAACTGCCCCCATAGGGTTTTCCAAGGAATGACTGGTGGATCAAACTGCTGACCTTTTGGCTAGCAGCCAAGCTCTTAACCACTGTGCCATCAGGGCTCTCAAAGAGGGTATAGGAATGGAAAAATAAGTGGACTGATTGTTAAATTCATTGTCAAGGACACTTAGTACTTCTACAGGGCCTTGCTTTCTGTAGGACTCAGTTTTGGTATCAGCTTTAACCCCTTTACCACTTCCTCCACCATTATAGTCAAAAAACCCCAGGGGGCTTCTCACGTGAGGCACAGGACAGCTACACTGAGAGTAGAGATCAGCTTCAGTACCAGGAATGAGAAAACAGAAATATTATTGTCGGTGATGGACATTTGAAATAAAAGGTGATGGCTTATGATCATTCCCAATTAAAGGCCGGATTAGGAAATCTTATGAGCCTTCCTGATGGAGAGACATCCAAGATGAGTGTGGCATCACCTCATGCATCGTCAGAGGCTGGAGAAATGTAGTCTCTCCTTCCAGTGGCTATGCTTGAATAGCTTCTGAGTAGCAGAGATACATTTCTGAAATATCGTTTCAAGAGGGGGTTGAGTGGGGAGGGAACAGGCAGAGTAGTGAGGTGGACAGGATCAGTACATTCAAGTTGATTTTCTCTGAAACAGGGGCTTTGAAGAGGGGTGAATAGGATGTCAATCAAAGCATAGCACAGTATAGAAATTCCTAACTGGATGAGGAAGGTCAAAGATTCCTGAAGCAATGGGTTGAATTATATTTATTGGCACACCTATTTGCCAGCTTTATTTGTTTTCCATTTTTCCCACCCACCTTTAGATACTTTACTTTAAAGTATTTACCAGTTGGAGACCTGGTGGTGCAGTGGTTAAGAATTCGGCTGCTAACCGAAAGGTCAGCA